GTTGGGTGAACCAAGTTTATTCTTTATTTAGTGGAATTACTCACAGTTGGTAGAGGTAAGATTAGTAATATTTCTTTATAAGGTTTACTCCAGTAAAAGTTTTTTTTTTTTTTTTTCTAAAAAGCTACTAAAGTAGATCTTACTAGATCATATCCCATTAGTGTAAGAAGTTTTACAGAGTTTCAAGGACAATCTGATTATTTGAGTAATTCTGCAGTTGTAACAATGTGCAATCAACAAATAGTGGATTTCTGTGCTCTTATATCCTTGACCTTTCTATGCTTGTGTCTGTGTGTGGAGTATCTCTTGCTGGTCAGCATGATTATACTGAATATGAAAATCATTTGGGGTCATAGCAATGCAAATAGATGAGAGCCAGGTAATGAGAGGTGAGCTCTCCTTTTCCAGAAGGCTGCTATTGTAAAAACTAATTCCTCTGCCTGTTAAAAAATATAAATAGGCAATGGAAAATATGAATACGAACAGTTGTTCCTATTACTTTTAAATCATTGTTTCAATGTAATTTCATAAAAATCCCTTCTTCGATGCACCATTTGGGAAGACATAATGTTTCAAGGCTCATGCATGCAAACTTTGCATGTTAATAATATATTTAGGTTGTTTGATGGTCTTTTAATGTCCTTGATGCCTACACTGTTTATTCATTTAGCCTGCAGCACACATTTGTTGACACTGTTCCAAAATTAGAAATATCACATCGCGTGTGCACAACTGAAATGCATCACGCATGTTTGCTTGCTTTCCATACATATATGCAATAGCAAAACGTTGTTAGTTTTGCTGTTTAAAATGCTTTTTTTAAAAATCACAATAAGTCCTAGTTTCCATGCTATTAATGCATTCCAACTGAAATCACTCACAGAAATGTTAAAAGGTTAAACAGAGTGTTCAAATTATCATTGTGACAAGTTAGACAGATTGAAGTCAGGAAAATGTTGACATATTGCAGATGCAATCATTATCAAAATATTCAGCAACAATATTGTGTCATTAAAAATAAAAAATCAACAATAATGCCACAATTGCATGACTGGGGAGTATGAACCAGTGTAGTACTTGCCATAAAAATAGATATATGCATTGGCTTAATACCAGAAGACCCGGAAGATTGCAAATCTGTAAGACCAATAGTATGATGAAAATGATATGCTGTTCAAGCCTCTCTTCCACTGCTGTGGAATATAACAAATGTGGCATCAATAATTGTCACATTTACATTCTAATTTGTAATTGAAAGTATATATTTTGTAATGTCTGCCATTATAATCATGTTAACAATATATTGAGTGTAGATAGAAAGGCAGTTGGATAATAGGTGCATTGTTTATACAGATCAAACTCTTGCACAGTTTTCCACAACTCAGTGACAGATGTATAAACAAAAAATGGCTTTTTAATTTTTAAATATCTTTGCCTCTTTCAGTATCCTCACTATTAAGTCCGCAAAATATTGTCATATTTATTATTGGCCATCTCTACTCTTTAGCAGTCATTTTTCATAATTTTATGACTCGTTTTTTTAATCAGTCTTTGACAAAGGACTGTTAATTTATTAACGCATTCTTGGAGGCAAAAAATGTTCAGTCAAATATGATAAATATGAGCTGGTTACAGCAGTGAAGGCAAAAGCATGTGAATTATAATGTGAAAACAAGAGTTTTTCTTTACCATGAGTTCAGAAATCATTTGATGAAGAATATCTTACATAGAGGCTTATTATTTTCTGTGAACGTTCACACACTGAAACTTCATGCACATTGGTAGAAAAGGAAATGTAGGAAGTGCCATTTTCAATTTTGCAATATGTTTTCTAGGTCTGCACTCTGTAGCAAAATGAGGAATTATCCACCACATTTAAAATATATGTCTTAGTGTAGCAGCATGCATTCTGATCTCTGTGAAAATATGGAAGAATATAAAGTAACTAAAATCATTACCTTTGCACCAGCGGCTTTCAGATTTCTATCTTAATACATGAATTCAGGAAGTTGTGTAACCCAATTTTTAGTTATTTAGGATTGTGGAGGAAATTACATATTATCCACAGTCTCAATATATTTAGCTGATTTAGAGACTTACTGTACACAGTAAGGAAAATGATTTAATCTGAATAAAAACAAGCAACGGCTTTTTGAGTTCGAACAAATATATATATTTTTTAATTTCGTACAAACATTTAGGTACTTCTGTTCTTCCCATCCAAAGGCACATGCACCTGCAGTACCACACATGTGTGATACTTCTATTGATGTTGAATTTAAACTAGGAAATTAATCTCTATTAGCATTGAAGTGACAGAGGTGCATTTCTGAGTGGCCATTAAACATGTGAAGGATCACCAACAATTAACACAGCAGCGGCCTTTTAGTGACAAGGCGTCTAATTAGTGAACGAGGCTCTATGGAGAAAATGGAAAAGAGCAAAGAAATGCCACGAATGTAAAAGTGAGGGTCAACAGATTTCTGAAGCTATTAACTACTGTATGTAACTACTGTAAGTCAAACTCTCTGTTTAAGCATGGATAATATAACAAAAAATGCCTCATCAAATTGAAAATAATTTCGTAAGAAACAAAAGTTTTATGTTAGGCTTTGATTAGTAAGTCAACGTGTTTTTCTTTGTGAGTTTTCAAAAGTTAATGTCCTTCCAAAACGGTGGATGGTCATTGGTCCTGCATGGCTATAATGTAAACCTGTGATAGACTAGTGATATGTTCAGTATTTATATCTGTGGGTAACTCGCTTCTCTCTGTGATCAACACAAAACTTGTTCACTCATTTTATATTCTATTTATATTTATCTTCTCCATTTAATAGCTGCCATCAAATCAGAGGGAAGATGTTTAGTGAGAGAATTGCTATTGCAACGAGGTACTTCTGTTTTATGGTTTTTAACACATGTTCACCAGGGGTGCCAGTCAATTCTGCAAGTGCTGGATGCGTTTCATAAATATTGTACAGGATTGCAACCATTGCTCAAAGGTAGACTTTTCTGTATTAAGGTGAGGACTTTGTATATCTTCCTCTCCAACTATTGTCTGTGAGGATTTTCTCAGCACTTCACCAAGGCACCACTCCTTCAACCTCCCAGAGGCCTTCACATTTTTATCAGAAGATGAGAGTTGTCATCAACTGACATCAGCTTTCTCACATTTTCATAAGCTTGCCAGAATTTCACACTACATGGCATTATTTTCAACAAGCTATGACAGATTGTGATGAAACTGTGTAAAAAAACATGGTTGTTTCACATAACGCTGTCAACTTGAGTACTAAGTACTGTAAATGTGATGAGTTGAGTCTTCTATAAGTTATTCAAGAATGCCTTGAAGACATGTGGTAAACAGCTTGGACGGGCAGTCTATCACATTATGTTATACAGAGACAAACAACCATGTGCTACATTTTGACAAGATTTTATTTTTGGAGCTTATGTGGAAAGCAGAAACTTTATTTAAAAAAAAAAAAAAAAGTATAGTAAGCAAATTCCCCACCAAAACAGCAACTATATTTTTGAGCTAGATTAGATTTTTTGCTTGACAGCTGCAAATTCAATATGCTGTTTGGTAATGGGCTCCTGACATGTGAACAGAACGTCATTGTTTATGCTAAAGCAGTTTGTTTTTATGTTCTGCAAGGAACTGTGATCAAAATGTTTTTTCTTTTCAATACTAAATATAATTTTGAGTTAATTATTCTCATTGTCTAGCCAACAAAGAAAAATATAAAAAATGATGTCACAAAACTGTACCAAACAAGAAATTTACTGTAAATAAAGGTTGTGCTTTGCCTTCTTTCCTTTTCAGAATACCACTGTAGATTTTTGAAGATTCGGGATGGAAACTAAATCACAAAACAATTTTAATAGCGCCTTTAATCTCACTAAATATTTTTCTCCTAAAATAGCCTTTCATGCTACCTAAACTACTGCCTGGCTCTTCTTTTCCATGCTCTTGTCGAACAAGCTGGATCACATCTGAATGTAACTAAATTATCTAACACCATCTTGAATTTAATCACGGTACTTAGCAGCATTTAAGCATCTTTTCATCATGTGATTTAGTGCCAAAGGACAAGCATTTGATAATACCAATCTCTGAGCTTAGCATTATTGATTATAATTATAACATTATTATACTCTCCATGCAGACTGAGCTGTCATTGAGACTCAATGACAATGCCTGGATTAGTAGTGAAGTGTTTGCCTGTCAGTTTGTCGCAGGTAGTCTGTGTAGGCGATGACACTGTTACTCTGACTATTATATATTTTTCGATAGTTTTCAATAATGCCTCATTAGTTTATTTTAGATTTTTTTTTTTTTTTATTGTCATGGCATCACGGCACCATTCTTCTCTCTTTTAGAAGGAGATACTTCTTGAGCTTATGCCCACTATCTGCTTTTTGTCTGTCTGTCATTTATAAAACAATCACTGCATATACCGTTCCACCACCAAGATGCATATGTTGTTTGTATTAAAAATGACAAGCATGCTGTAAATAAAACAGAAAAACACAAGTTTTTCTGTGTTTTTCTGTGTTTTTTGACAAAGTGCATCTTGACAAATGCACTTTGTCAAGATTATATGTTTGTAAAACTCCCTAAAATTGTACATCAAATTGAATCACTTAGATTCAATTTGATGTTTCCAAATAGCATCAGTGGCAACCATGAATCACCTTCTTCTCCTGTAGCTTCACTCTCTTTCTTCTGGCTCACCAAACTTCTGCACATCATATTGTCTGATTGCAGATTGTGGGTGAAGTTGAATGTGGATCTTGAGAATTGATTAAATGTTTCATTTGATCGTAGAGTTTCTGAATAAGATAGATGACCGTGACAGAAACAATAGAATAGGGCAAACTGATCTCCATGACAAGCATGCTCTGTCTGTGCCTGCAGAGACCCATCGCATGTGTGTATGAGCCATTAAATTAGGAGGCAATTTGATGTTTTTGTATGCTCTCTTTGAACTCTGCAGATAAACCTCCAGAGGAGAATGAGGGTTACAGGCCTGATTACCCAAGGTGCCAAACGTATCGGCAGCCCAGAGTATGTCAAGTCATACAAAGTAGCCTACAGCGATGATGGGAAGACCTGGAGAACATACAAAGTCAAGGGCAAAGATGAGGATATGGTGAGTCTCGTGTATGCCTATCTTTGCCAATTGCCTCTAAATCTGTGACACATTGATGAAGATACATACTCATACACATGTTCACCCAGAGAACAGAGACTATATCATTGAAGGGCAAGGTGGAGGACATGATGAGATGGATTTCTAATTAGCTTGCACACAGGGCCCGTCCCGCTGCCCTTTATACCTATCCACTTCCAGGAGTTTAAGATTCAATTTATATACTATTTGGGGATGAACAGCCCTCAAATAGTCCATGCAGCATTCTGTCATTCTTGACAGAAATATGTGGTTGCTGTCATCTTATTTAATTTATAAGACATGCCTTTGTTAAACTGTCCTTGAGTTTCTTATAATTAAATCTATTTTTGCATTTATCCAGAGCTAAGAAGAAAATACAATTCTGTACTTACTTTTCTTCTACAAGACATATTGGTATATTATACTCAGTTAGTAATTCTGAAGAAAGACTAGAACAATTACTGGGGCTCTAATTTAAAATACGTTGCTATTTTTATGAATGGTCAGGTTCAAATGACGCAGGAAATTGTACATTTCTTTCAGTAATTCTCGCTTGTTGACCTAGGATGACAGCAATTTGTCCACGGTGTGGTAAACACTATAGAGTGCAGTAGATTGATTGTCACATTATAGCAAAGTGATCTGTTTCACCGTTCTCTCTGCCCTCATCTGTGGGTGTTTCATCCTGTTCGACAGATTTTCAGGGGAAATGTTGACAACAACGCTCCATCAGCCAACTCTTTTACACCTCCCATTGAAGCCCAATTTGTGCGCGTTTACCCCCAAGTTTGCAGGAGGCATTGTACCTTACGCATGGAGCTGCTTGGCTGCGAGCTGACAGGTACATTTTTCTGTGTTTTGGATCCACTGATCAGAGTCTCTTGTTTTTGTAAAATTGGCCTGTCCATGCTTATCTTCATTTCACTCAAATAACTATGTTTTCTTTAATTATTCATATCAAACTGTTTGTAAAAGAGGAGTTGCTGTAAAATGGTGTTAACAATAACTTTATTACATTTGCATGTGATCACAAAGTGCAGTATTTTTTTAAGTCTCTAGTGATTAGTGCTGACGAGTCTGAAAATGTTAACATTCTGGACAAAACCCAATTTATTTTCACATCCCTTCATTTGTCAATTTACATCATGTAAAGTTTGGAACAAACCCATCTCTTGTTGTTCTGTTCAGGCTGTTCTGAACCACTGGGGATGAAGTCAGGCCATGTGCAAGATTATCAGGTCACGGCTTCCAGCATTTTCCGAACACTCAACATGGACATGTTCACTTGGGAACCTGGAAAAGCCCGTTTGGACAAACAGGGCAAGGTCAATGCCTGGACAGCTGGACACAGTGACCAGTCACAGTGGCTACAGGTAAAATTTAATCTGATTTTAATATCCTATTTCTATGTGTAATTTACTGAAAAATTTGCCTGGTGGAAATGAACACCAGGCAGAAAGCTGATATAATATCTTATGGAAATTAATTTAGCTTTACTTTTTCAGAAAAAATATACAGCTGAAAGATACATTCTTATCTTAGACTAAAGATATCCTCCCTTTGTTGGGAATTATTTCCATACAAAGTCAAGGGAAAAGATGAGAGGAAGGGGAATGACCCAGAAATAAGTTCTCCTATCTGTTTATTTATATGTGAACTTGTTTTCAGCCTAACACCCTATCTGCCTCTCTTAGTTATCTCTGACCATAATCCAGGTTTTCAGTCTGAATTGCAACCACTTAATCCCATTTGTTTGTCATTATGTGCTTATTGAAAAGGATAATAGACAACCCTAAACGAATGCTGACTTCTGGATTTTTTTTCAACAATATGTGAACTTGAGGCTGAGAGAGTTCAGGATACATAATAACTTGGAGTACATCATTCCTAAAATCCCCTCACTTATGTTTTGGAGTTTTTCCTGATAAAAGGTTGCTAATCCACTTTTCTTTAAGGGTGAGAAACCGCATCTCGCTCCAAGCTGTAAAGTTAATGGGATAAAAGAGGTTGCCTTGTTGGAAATTAAAGATCTGAGTGAGATCATGCTTTATTGATCTTGTTTGTGGCCATGCCAATGTGCATACAACGCCTTAAGAATGTTCCCTATTTCTCACTTCACAAAATTAGTAAATAGGGTTCGATTGTATGCAATTTCATCCCCCTATAAACTCAGCTGTTCGGTGCATGTTTCACATGTCAGTTCAATAACATTAATGAAAAAACAGGACCATGTAAGCTAAGAAACACATAAGACAGGTTGGGGATAAAGAGAAAACGGGTGTTATGTTGTAGGGGATATTTTTCTCCAGTGGTGAAGAGAAGAGAAGTAGGAGTGGAGATGTAAAAATATCTAAATACATTTCAGTTGAGGATGAAAACCTGTTATAGACTACAAAGGACTTCACAGCAACCCTAACAGTTTAGTTTGGAGGATATCTGTGTAATAGAATAGTCAAGCCAAAGTCCAGGCATAAATCCAGTTGATAATGTGCCGCAAGTGTTGGAAACTGATTATCACAAATGCCCTCCATCCAGTGTGAATAACTTGAGCTATTTTATAAAGAAGAATGAGCCAAACATTGCTGTCATAATAACTTGGAGTACATGCGGAAAAGATATACCCCAGGTAGACATATAAAATAAATTTTTACCATCACTTCTATAGAATAGAAGTGATTTGCCAGAAGTGATTTGCCAAAAGGGATTTCACATGACATTGACCCACAGGGCCTGAACTGAACTGCAGGTCAAACCTTCCAGATTTTTATTTCATTACAAGCATAAGCACTACTTAGCATTTTTCTGTAATGTAAAGTTGCAGTTTAAAAGAGTAAAGATTGTGACTGTAACATGATAAAATGTGAAAAAGGTCAAGTGATACCAATATTAGTTAAGCGCACCACACCTTTGCCACTCTTCACATTCAGCTGTCATCATGATTTGCCGGATATAATTGGATTTGGTTCATTCAGACATTTTGTTGTAATTATTATCATGCTTAGCAGCTCTTATCAGGGGATGATGACATGCAGGGATGTATGCTCAGGAAGAAAGGCACTCAGAGAAGCCCAATCTATGCCATGGATCTTGGCTGAGCAAAATTGATTGCTGTAGGTAAAAGGAAAACTTGGAGTCTCATATTACATGCTGTGCTGACAGGAAAGGGGAGATGCTACACAGATGCTGTGAGAAAATCGATGGCTTCCATTTCCAAAGACTGAGTCTTTGCACACAGGCATATATGATGTCTTGGCTCTCAAAAGCAAACATAGCTAGTCATATATCACAGAGTGCTGTTTCACTTTTATAGTGATGCAACGGTTTCAGTTGAGTGGTTTGCACATTTAAATATCATCTTATGTGCATTTGTTACATTGAATGTTGGATATCTACTTTCAAACTGGTTGCCATGGCAGATAATTAATACAGAGCCCTAGTACTAAATGACTTAAAGTGTCACAGATTAATGGAATTAATCAGCCTTAATGATGAAATAAGTATTCCTATTAATCAGAAAAGTTGTTGCATTATGGAATAGAAACAGGAGGAATGTTTTTGCAAACACTAAAAGACATAATTTAAGTTCATTGATGGATGAAACTGGTTGAAAGTTCCTGCAAATAGGGAAAGTTAGTCATATATCCAAACCTCTGCCAAGAAGGCCATTTGACTTTAACGATCAGTCTGATTGAGAAGCTTACATCTGAAGACGAAATACATCTGAACTGCTCAGCCTGTGTAGGTCAAAACAAAAACTGAGTCCCAGATGCGCTGGGTATCATCCAAGCTAACATTTTCATGACACGGCTGGAGATGAAATTACCCAAATGGGAAACTCAAAACAGAATCTTTGAAGATGTTTTCAAGAGTCGACTGAATCTGCGAAACATAGCTGCCAAATGTTCCAGCTGCCAGAAGCTGATTACCTAATTATGAGCCTTAAGATGTCCACACAGCAGAGAGAAATTTGCTGGAGATGCATCAGATCATTACATGTTTCACATTTTCCCTCTGCTAACACAACTATACAGCATTTTTGCTTGGGGAGTTTTGTATTGAAACTCAGACCTCACCTAAACAAGAACATCAATTGGAGTAGACTGACGTGTTTCTGTTTTTCACAGGTTTATAAAAGAGACAAGTTTTTGAAAGACTTTAAATGATGCAGGAACTGAATGTGATATTTTGAAAGGAATTCTGAAATATCCACTTAACACTCACTATGTTTCCTCTTTAGTTTTCTCATGGGTGTTATGCTAATCATTAACTATTTTTACATTAGTGGAGATGCTCTCATCCAGTTTGTTTTGGTTCTTATCTTACTCCAGTATGTGATTTTATTCATGTAAAAAACTAAAAAAAAAAAGAAAGAAAAGCTGTGACAGGAGCTGTGATGTCAGACGCTGAGGTGAAGCAACTGTTCCTTTGTTCTGTTCCTAAAAGGCTTTTACTTTGACATTTAGTGCTACTGATAGTCATGATATTATATGTTAATATGAATAACACTTTTCTGCTGGAATTTGTGCCTCTGTGTTTAATTAAATTAGCAACATTTACATCACATCAGATTGATGATAATATATATTATTTTCCTTTTATCTGCAGAGCTGCACAAAATGAGTTGGAGGGGGGGGGGGTGAAATGAAGGCATTTATGGAGCACACAACTTAACAGTCTTCAAAACAGTTTTGAAGAAAATAGAAAGAAAATAAAACAATATTTTTCAATGTCCAGTAAATAGTGACTGCTGAAAAGCTTTAGTTTTCTCTTCAGTCATTATCACTATAAAAACAACCAACATATGACCCAATGTCTGAAATTGGGAATGGATTGATGGTTTTAGCCCAATATGTCGTCCAGGATTTTGACTCTGATTTGGGTCCCTGTCTAATGATTTGATAAAGCTCAGCTTTACAGAAGGTATTCCAGTTTCCCTCTGCCAGCTGCTCCTCTTCCTTTCCTCCACTCTGCACAGATTACATGCAGATCCCTGTCTGCAGGCATAGCTCAGCATGAGCTTTCAGTTTAAATGGTTACCTCTAAAGCAGGGTGGAGGGGGATGCACTTTTCCAATAATAGGTCGTGAGAATGATATGAGTACACAGAAAAGTACGTAATGCCTGTGGCAGTTCTAAACAAGTGAACCTACCTGCTTCTTCTGACTCACTTGCACACAGCAGACAGCTGATCCAAACACACAGCAACAGTATCTTGAAAACAAACAAACAAAAACCCTGAGTGATGAGTGTTCAACCCATGTTGGGTAAGGTGAAAAGAGAGTTGTTCATTTGAAAAATCACAGAAAATATGATCATCTTTCACAAACTCCGTAGTCCACAACACTGCAGTGTTGCATATTAACTGGAATGTAAATCGTTTTGTAGGCATGGCCTTGTGAAAAACACTACCAGAACAAACTGCATCACGTCATTTCCAACCTGTCAAAATTATTTACAGCTTGCAAAGGTTACAAAACAAGACTTGATCATAATTTCCTGCTGGTGGTCCATTAGTTATCGTTTGCCTCAGAAGTTTTCACAGCCACTTATCTCCCTAAAGTGATAAATATGTGTTTTGCGTGTCTGTGGCACCCGGATAATCCCCTCATGCTTCCAATGATGACAACAGAGTTTGTGTGAAATTGTTGACTGTATGTGTGAATGGCCTGCATACAGATGGTAGATTTATGACAAAATAGTAATTTCCAAGTAAACATTAAAGCAAATCAAGTTCCACACAACCATTTGTCATAATTTAGCTAAACTCCTGCATTATATTGTTTGTTTGTAGATAAAGGATTTATACCCTTTACTGAAAGGGTATTTGTTTTAACCACATGCCAGATTTATAGACAGTTCTGCTTCTGTCACAGGCATCTTTCGGCACAGAGATCATATTCTCAACGTGACATGTAAATTTTGAATTTTCTTAGTTTCGATAAATTTGTATTTTTTTAATTACCTGAGTAAAAATTGATGGTTATTGAAAGATTTTTGCAAATATTGTTGTGTCGTTAATCTGTGAGATCTGCAAGAAATTAAGATGATCTCAGAAATGTGTGCAAACATCAAGCAATATTTGCAGAATAGACATGACTAGAGAATTCCAAGCATGGAAGATTTCTCAGGAAGATGCTGGAAGAAAGAAAACGGTTTACAAGGTAAATGGCACATTGGGATCAAAGGGATTCTCTGCAGGCACATAGAGGACCAAAAAGAAAGCACAGCGGGGGATTAAAAACAGCGACAGGGAAGCAAAGGGAAGAGACATGACTAAAGTGACCCATCTTTGCGATTTCAGGGAATTGTTCCACAGGCTCTTGGTCAAACCACCAAACACTAATTTGTGGTAAATAAAAAGAATAAAAAGATGA